GCCAAAATGATTATATGCAGATTACTCACCAGACTTGGTTTTGAGTGAGTTTGAGCTTTTGGGAAAATCAGATCCATCCTTACAAGAAAATACTATCAGCGAGACTGTTGAAAGAATGTCACAGACTGTGATGGTTAAGGTTGTGTGTCAACTTGGCTGGCCCATGATTCTCAGTGTTCGCAGTTATAATTTAATTTGGCAATTACGTACTGATGTAATCAACTCCATGATGAGATCTGCTATGAGGAGCCAATCAGGTGAAAGGGAGTTTTCTTGGGGGTGTGGCCAGCCTACAGTATATAAATGGATGTTTCAGCAAGGCCCTTGTTCTGGATCCTGCATCCGGCTCATCATCATCTGACTTCTGGTTCTTGGGACTTGAGCTAGCAGCTTACCTGCTGATCTTGGGATTCCTAAGCTGCCACAGCCTGTGAGCCAGCAGCCTGCTGTCTGACCTGCCAATCTTGGTTCGTCAGCCCCTGCAGCTATGTGAGTCTGGAGAAGCCTCCAGCTTGATGCCTGACCTATGGGCTTGGGACTTGCCGGCCTCTACAACTGCATGAGCCATTTCCTTTAGATAAATCTGTGTGTGTGCGTGTGTGTGTGTGTGTGTATATATACACACACACACACACACACATATATTTGTGTATATTTATTTATTTATGCTTCACTGGTTTTGCTTCTCTGCAGAACCCAACCTAAGACACAGGTGCTGGGAGAAAGTCTAAAGAAGCAATTTTAAAACTGTTTTTGAATGATGATTAAACTCTTTAAAATAACTACAGAGTGATCCCCGATGATTACATGGAAGGGGATAGCACCCATTTGAATAGTTAAGTTCTAATGTGTTGATTTAAAAAGCCAGACATAGAAGATTGTTTGTACATATAGTCCCTGCAATTGAGATTAAACGTGGGCTGAAATAAAACAGGGGTCACCCACTACTTCCCTCCAGCAGGAGCTTCTCACATTGGGTTGGAGAATCCGGACCCTGAGCATATAAGGTAACAACATCTTCCTGGCCCAACAACCTACATTCTGAAAATCTTCCAAGCTAAATGCAGGCCCAGGTTATGTATTTTGTATCCAAATTTCAACACATATTTTCTCTTTTTAATCTAAAAACCAAAATATTTAATTTCTCAATTTTGCTTTTTTCTGTTCTAATGTATAAAACTATGAATCAAATCATATTATTTCTTTTTGCTATTAGTGTGACTACAATAATTTTTTTGCTGCCTACTTTAATTCAAGCTCATATTATATTTCAGCCACTTCTGTGGGTATTTGTTCAGTATATCAAGAAATGCTTTTTTATGTGGCTATTAATCAGGCACCTCAGATGTTTTCCCGGATACTGACTACATTTTTTTGGTATTAGAATGTCATTCTCCTTTGCTTTCATATTCATATAGGTGCATAGCCCTGGGAGATTTTTATTTTAACAATAATACAAATGACAAACAGGCACTAAATTTTTAGTCATTTACATCAGATTAACTTGAATGATTAAAAATAAAATACCAAAATTTATATTAAGGGAAGAGAACACTACACTTTTTGATGCCTGTGAGCCAGAAAACATGTTTGTGAGGAAGTAATTCCTTACTGAGTTTAAGCTTTGATTTCCCTTTCCTCAGCCCTTGAGTGTCCTGGCTCAGGGAGGAGTTGGGGCAGAGGGGCAGAGGCACACTTGGGGCTATCTTGCCAGGCCGAGAAAGGCCAATGCAGCTGCCGGCCTGGGCACGAGTGTGGGCGGCCACCTGTGGCTCTCAGAGCAGCTGTTTGGTAGAAGGCCAGCCAAAGCCCTGTTGGTGGGATGGAGGCAGGTGGCCAGTTGGGTGGCCAATACATCCTGGCATGGGCTGAAAGAACACCTGGTTCCACTCTGTGGACCCACCACAGAAGGTCAAAGAATGTGCTTGCTGGCGGCAACCTGATGGCCAGATTTTTCAAGCCCCGATGGTCCTGCTCTGATTGAAACAGAGAGAAGCCCACCTTTCTTCCTCACTAAAAATATATCCTGAGGCCAACACAAAATCATTCTGCTCCAGTTGTGTTGAAATAGGTCAGCCAGGCCATCTGGTCTGTCTAGAAATGGGTTGGGTCACTGTCAGGCAGGGACAGGCTCTGTGACTCAAAAAAAGACATTTCAGGGTTGGTGAGAACCCCTCAAGTTGTAGGTGCTTGGTTGCTAACTGCCATTGCGGACACCTTTTATCCTAGGATGTCTCTGACCTTTCCTTTCCTCCTCTTCCCAGTAACTCTAATTTAGAAGTCGCTTGTAATTTGGTCACTAGACATTGGAATTTCGTTGAGAATACCACCACCTTCCAAGACATCAGCCCAAAGTTTTTACCTTCCCCTGACCCTTGAGGCGCCTCCCAAGGCCTTGGGCCCACTGTTTCCCAGGAAGAAGGACCCCATTTTCTCCAGCCTGGTGAGTCAGTTTCACTCTGGCAGAGGGGCACCCTTCCCAACTTCCCACTCTTCAGATGTAGAGCAGGCAGTTGCCCTCTGTGTGCCAAAGAAGTGGAGTCAGGCTCCCCTCACTGGTTCTGTGACCCTCAGCAATTTATTTAATCTCTCTGAACCTCAGTTTTGACACCTGTAAATGGTGATTGATGACGCATTCAATGGATGTTGTAACTCATTCAATCAAAGAGTTTATGTTAACTGCCTAGGCAGGCACAGCAGGCAGTCAGCAAATACTAGTTGCGTAAATGAATGACCATGGCTGATGCCACTATCTAGATGGAGTGGGCCTGCACTGGCCCTGGACTAGAAATTCTTGCTGCCACCTTTGCTTGGGATCGAAGAGCTTCATCTCACAATTACCGCTCTGCCAGCAAGAATGCCAAAGTGAGCAGTTCTATGGGCCCATAAGGTAGTCCGCTCTCCACAACTGCCCTTTCTAGGGGGCAAAGACTAGGCCCCCCACAAGAACTACAGACGCCTTGAGCTAACGGAGGCCACCCACTGCTGAGCTTTTGGCCTGAGGAAGGCAGTCTGACTTCTGGGAGGCCTTGCACCTATGGGTAGAATAACTTTCCCTCTCTCATGTGAAATCTCCCCTTTAAGGTAAAGTATCCAAGCCACAGATCCAAGAAGATACCTCTTGATTGGATTTCACAAGCCTTAAGGTGTGAGCCATTAAACCTGAGTGGTCAGGCATGATGTTCGGTGCCCAGAGGTGAATGGGAATATTTAAGCTCTCCAAACTCTGGAGCTGGGGACATCAGGCTCTACTGGGGCCCCTTGGACACAGTGTTGTTCTGATGAGGACAGGAGATTGCAGTGAAAATTAGCTTTCATCACTCACGCAGCTCAAAGTTTCCATGGTCTAAAGGGAGACATCTACCTAATGACAATATGGGCATAACCTAGATTTCACCCAGGGAGTGGAGTCAGCTTGAAAACCAGTTCCATTTCTCCCTCAGATATCATCTGTAGATGAAATAGGGGACAAGATACCCTCAAGGAAAATAATGAGAAAAGACTGTTTTCCTTTTTAAGTTTCTGGTTGAGGTTTCAAATCTGAGGCACAAAACCATTGTGAACAGCTGTTCTTTTAAAAAAACATGTTAGTTTATTCCACACATTCTGATGATAGGAATGAAAGAATTTCAAACACAGTTTGTCTGTCACATTTTTTATTCAGTGACTGATTTTTACTGTTTTCTGTGACCACTTATTTAGAATTTTCCAGCCCTCCTTGGCTGGGGTTTTCTTCCCCCTCCCTGAATTACTTTTCTTTTTCCTTATTTTTAAAGTAAGGAATCTTATCCTAGCCATGCAAATTCACACATTTTTGTTACCAAGATCAACACACAACTTTCTTCCTAATTTACTTGAAAAAAGCCATCTGGCCTTCAGGAACATAAAGGATTAAGGATGATCCCAGCAATGTCTGGTGAGGGGCAGAATCTCATGCGGGGAGGGGGGGGCAGATGTCCTTGGGGCTAATACCCTAAGCAAAAGGGTAATGCCTTTAGATATTTTTAAGCGAGAAAAGTGTTTGATTAGAAGCTTGAAAACAGCTGTAGATAAGACTCTGAATCTGAAGAATCTAAACTGAGACAAGCATTGTTTCTAGGCAATTTGACCCCCACAGCCCCCAGTTGAAATACCCTTCACTACCACAGTGGGAGGTTAAAATGGTTGGTACATGGGATCATCTCATTAACTGAGCATTCGCAGTACTTCAGCCACTTTAGACTCCTAGGATGACCTTGCAGAAATACTCACTTAAAGCTATCTTCACTTGGCCCAACCTGATTTCTTCTAAATATAAGATTGGATGTGTGTGTACAGAGGTGCGAGGGTAAGTGGACTAAAAAGCACAATTTTGTTCAGGCATACCACATCTTGTTATGTAATTGAGGAACCTGTCATTTGCAAGCACTCAATTCGCTAAGCATGCAAGCTCAGCCAAAGCGGAACCGTTAGTTACTTTAGCCTAAGAGGAAATGTCTGAAGGTGGAAAAGCATATCCATCCTGTATCAATGCTCCTGCTGAACCTGAGTAGAAAAATCCTTCAAATATGAATTCTCTTGTTTCCCTCAACCAAATATCTTGGATCCGCCTTCTATACTAAAGAATTTACATGGAGGGCAAACGAAGTAGGAGACATGCTCAGATAACGAAGTAGGAGACATGCTCAGAAAAGAATTGTGGGCCAAGTGATTGAAGATGTGTGACAGTAGCCCATCTTGACTTCCTTCCTCCTCTCAGAATAACTAACTGCCTGGTGGCATCTGGGGATACAGCTCCACCATAAATATCTGAGCCTTTGCATTTAGGTATGACTGACGTATTCACACATATAGATGCAATCTCTGAGAAGGACAGTAAGGATGCTACAAATTACCTCAATCCTGGCTACTACCCGTATAATTTAGATAACATAGCTGTGGTGTCCCACGGGATAAACGCTTTCTACTGCAATTTTAACACCAGGTTTTCAGGGAATAGACAACTTCCATCTGAATCATTCTTACAAGCTGATTTTTTATTTTTACTAAATTATCTATGTTAAAAAAAAAATCTGTGCTTGGTGTGGAATTTCACTCCATCAAGTGTTACAATGTCTTTTTCATTTTCATTACAAGCAGAAGAATGAATGTAGGACAAGTGTTAGGAAACACAGCAATAAATTAGAATATAATTTACAAAAGCGAAAAAAAAAGTAACAGTGTACCACATTAATACTGGGTATAAAATAATAAGCAACAACTAAATCACAATAATACAAAGGTAATTTCGTTCTGCATTATTAAGGATACCTAGGTGACAGTCACTCAAATAAAAAAGTTCCTGATGAAATGGACTGTTGGGAAGTCATATGTATCTCAAGGAGTTTAATCAGTTTGGTACATTTTACCTTCCCTTTTTTGTTAGGCCTTTATAACCAGTGGCAGACACTGTTCTCAGCTAGTAGGGTACAGGTTTCCTGGTGACTCCCTAAGTAGTATAGCTCACTACTTTCGGAGGGCTGCCCCGATGCCCAGCCTCTGCTGATGGTACTGTTATTAGATAGGCATAGAGCATAATTTAGCCATGTGGGTGGCTAGAGTAGCAGCAGTATTGTGATGTGCTGTGGAGTATCATTTCTCCCCCCACTTGCGTATAAATTCACGTCTATTTGAAAATTATAAATCCCATTGTATTCTGTGCTTGGTTCTTCCTTAGAAAAGTAATCTGATGATGCCCAGAGAGTTCTCTGCATCCTGACCTCAGTGCTGTTGCATGTTCCAGAGGAACACTGGCTGCCCTCCTCGCATAGCACCAGTCAGAGCACCACGCCATGCCCAGGAAAGAAGCCTCCACAATGTTAGTTTCCAGGTGAGGTTAAAAAAAAAAAAAAAAAAAGCCTGTAGTTATTCATGTAAAAAATCTTTCTGAAATAGAAACAGAAACTGATATTTATGTTGGTGCCCTGGAGAAAATCAGATCCTAATAGCAAACCTATGCCTAAAATGCCACAAAAGCTACCCTTCCTTCTCTCGTTCTTTTTTAAAAATGTCACCAGGGCACGTTAGCACCAAGTTAACTGTTCTTTGAAAAGGACCAAGGGAATTCAGTACCGGTGCTGGTGCTGTGCGTCTGCGGGCGGCCCTCCCTTCACTGAATGGCTCACATGGCACTTGGACTGTCCTTGTAAGGGCAGCACAGAGAGGGCCCCCTGCAGGACACTCTCGTGTGTCGTCGACAGCTCTCTCTGTTTGGAAAGCTCAGGGATGCGAGTTGTGCTGCTGTGAGAGAAAGCAGGTGACGAGGTACAATGGCCATGACTGAGCATGCAGAACAACTTCCCCTGCCGACTGTCCAGTCAAACATGGAAGTTTAGATATAAAAGTCTATTCCTTTCTGAAAAAACCTAATCATTCACATTAGGTCACGGTTTCTGTGACACACTTGGCATGTAGTTTCAGAACACAGTGATGAATTTAAGTCAAACATGCTCTTTAACTGCAAGTTATTATCTTTACCAAGTAGCCATTTGGTTTTGAGCTTTAGGTGTACACATGGTGTACTACAGCAAAGGAGGCTGCTGGACACCAAGGACATCCACTTAGTGCCTGCTGCAAGCTGCAAGTGTCCAAGAACAAAATATTAATATAAACAAGTGCCCCTCTTTTAAAATCTAAGTGTTGAGTCTTTTGATGAGCAGGATGTAAAACTTTGAAAATATGGACAATCTCAGCTAGTCATTTTAATTTAGGTACATTTGATTCTAGAATTTGACTTGCCCAAGAAACTGGGTTTCACATTTGATTGCCATTCAGAGTATCCATAAAAAATACAAAATACTTGGTTGGGTGATTATTAACATTATGCTTTAGGATCTCTAGTCTTCATGAGTTTTTCTTCTTTGGTTGTTATGCCTTGCCTACTTTAAAACTCACAGAAATAGCACATTTATGTGCAAGCACACTCATCTATCCACACACTCAAAGCGCCCGCACACACACACACACTTGCTCTCATATAAATAAATGCCCTTCCACCATATCAAAGAAGGGACATCTGGAACTCATCATAATTGTCAGCAAATTGCAAAAGGGTCTGCCTGGTTGTTACCGAGCCAGTCGGTCTTTTGCATGGTATCATCTCAGTAAGCTCAAATCGCGTGCAACAATCTAACAGGGCAGAAGCCGTTCTGCGGCTGATGAGGATGTAAACACAAGTGAGTTGGGGTGACTCAGATAAGAACTGAGGCAGCCTACATGATGGCGGCAAAGGACCTAGTACTTCAGTCTCTACCATACCTCGGGTCTGGCCTCTGCATGAGATTGAAATGTTTTTCTCTTAAAGTTTTAATGGAAATCTCAGCTTCACTTGCACAATGGCAAGTTGGCCATAGCCTTTTAGCACTGAATTTATAGACTTGCACAGCTGCAGTAACTGATGCACTGCTTTAAACTAAGTTCTTCATTGTTGTTCGGTTTCATATAGTTTTATATATGGCTCACAGCAGTGTTCAGAACAGGGGGATTATTCTCCTAAGGAAATTAAGTGGAATGAAGAAAAACGATACAAACTTTCATTACTTTTGATTTATAATTGCTCCTTAAATTATAGTTCAAAGCCCATTTTATAATTTAAATTGTGGTGCTATTGTAGTGAGATAAAGTATACTAAATATTTTTAAGCTATGACTTTAGATTTCTGAATCTTCTTTACTTCCATAGTTGACCAAGTCATAACAGCTACATTTTAAACAGTTTTAAATACAAATGGATTCAGTGTCATTGCTAAGTCCATAATAAAAATTATTTTAATGGTCCAAGGAGGTAAACAGGCTATTGGATTTACTCGAAAGAACGCAAACGTTCCACAGTAAGCAAGTCTCCCTGTGTTGTTTGGATCTCTCCAATCTGGCATCTCCCCCTAATACCGTGTCCAGCACTTTGGATCAATAAATCCCACTTCACAGAAGTTAAAATAATATTGAAATCCTGTCAGCTAGGGCTGACCAGTGGTTACGTTTTCCACAGGGTAATGCATTTGCAAGGACCTCAATCCTCTTCCTCTGGGTGGCTCTCTTTGATGGACGCATTTCCATGATGAAATGACAAGGCTCTCTCTTTGGCTTTCCGTGGGTCAGTGTCCTTGGCAAGTCTTACAACACATCTGTCTGAAGTATGCTCGACTGCAGAACTTGAACTTCAGCACCAGTGGGCAATAAGCCACTTTATTCACATCTTTGCACTCTAACAAATGGGGGCAAAAAACAGAAAACAATTACAGGCACATAAACAAGGACATAAACAAGCTGATGAGCCTGAATGTTTAGCAAGGACCCCCCCTTTGGCCAACCCACCTTGGCTTTTACATGCATGTGGTTTTTGTTTTTGTTTTTAAGCATAGCCTGTCTAGTACAGCCTACCGGAAATATTCTTTTGATACATTTTAACACAAATTTGAAAAAAAAAATGTTTGCAAGGTTTTTCTCCCAGACTTTTGTAAGTATGGCGCATGCCCACTGCGTCTTGAAAGAATTACCATTTGTTGGGATAAGTGATCACTTTAGACAGCTTGGAAACATGAGTCGTTTTTCTTACAGCACTTTTATTGCTTCTTTCTCAAGGGTTATTTTATTCAGCAGTGCAAGGTTATCCAAAATCAAACGTGAGTTGCATTGTTTGATACCCAAGTACACATGTCTCAAGAGAATCTCTGCATCTGTGAGGCACTGGGATGGGCCTGGATGAATGAAAAGGATTGCTGGCAGTGGCCTAGACTCAGCAACTACACCAGACAAAGAGGAAAGCTTTGAGGGGTTGGTCTCAAAAGGCAGCAGTCTGTGGGTTATGGAAACATGCAGAAATGTCTTTTTTTAATTTGGAAGTGAGACATGGCCTTCTTTTTTCCTATGTGTATTTTCTCCTCAGTGCTAGAACTGCCACAGTTGCAGTCTGTAGTTCTTGCAGCCAGAAGGTGAATAAATGATTCTTCCCTCATCTTTCCTCGAGGCTGACTGCAGAAGGTGGCACTGAGGGGCCAGTGTGGAGAAAGGCATGCAGGCCTTTGATTCTTAGTACTCACCCACTCCACAAACCCTCCCCTCCCCCTAGTTCCCCCACTGCTGCTAATAATGATATTCCTCTCCAGTACTCCGGTCACTTTTATCTGGGGATTTAAAAAATATTTTGTAAACCTATTAATTAAATTTCCATATGCCTTCCAGAATCGAAGTTCCACCCTCATTTTTCCAGGTGGTTATACTGAAACATCTTGGGTAGACTGTTTAAAGTAATTAAGAAACAGGCAGAGCACTGGGTAAAGTTCAGTGTAACAGAACATTTTTTTTGTTTGCTTGTTTATTTACCGTACTTGTTTTTTCCTGGCTGCAGAAATCTAGTCAAGTTCTGCAAGGTTAAGTACATAGTATATAAGCCATATGATAAACAGAAGATTAAGTGTAAAGAAATGGGAAAGTTTCCAGTTCTTATTATTGCAGAGTAAGGTAAACAAATTTATTAATTTTACTAAAGTGAGTAAAAGACTTTCAGTGAAAGACTTAAAATTTGAACCTGGAACCTGCAAGTCCTCTGAGTATATAAAAGCTCTGCTACCATCAAATGCCCTTGTTCAAGATTTGATTTACAAAGAGAATAAAAACCAAAAAAAAAAAAAACCAAACCCATTGCCGTTGAGTCAATTCCGACTCATAACAACCCTACAGGACAGAATAGAACTGCTCCATAGTGTTTCCAAGGAGCAGCCGGTGGATTCAAACTGCTGACCTTTTGGTTAGCAGCCGTAGCTCTTAACCACTATGCCACCAGTGTTTCCACAAACAGAATAGTAGTTAGAAATCTGAATGGAAACTTTACACAGTGAGAGTCTCAATAAATTTAACTTTTGGCTGAAAGAAGGTAGGAAGGACCTGAAAAACTTCTTGAAACTTTGCACCCAAAAAAAAAAAAAAAAAACAGATGATATTCGGTGAATCAAGTTTGAATTTTAGGTGAAAAGACTTCCACCTATTTTAATTTGGAGGTCACTTGGTATTATTTTTTCTTTTCCTCTCTAACAATCAATATCAGCGAAAGTAACCAAAAGTTTAGGCTGAGAATATGTTTGTGGAAAAAAATTTAAAAAAGAAGCTTTATAAGTGTTAGCAAGAATGGTATATTGTCAAGGTAATGCAGTTATCAAAGTGATGATAAAAGCTGAGCATATCCCTGCTGACACATGTCACTCATCTTTAATTCCAAATCACCATCCTAATGAGGTAGCCAGCCAGCCAGTAGAGATGACTGCTCTAGCATATTCTGCAACAGGACTTGGTGAGACTGCTTAAAGTACAAAATAAACTTTAGATTTGGCCTTCTTAGCCAAAACAGAAAAATGATTTAATTGATAAGCAGATAGAGGAGGACTGGTTGTTTTCCCTTTTAATAGTCCAAGGAAATAAAATTAGAAGTCAGACTACCTGGGTTTAATCCTAGCTCTACCATTTACAAACTTTATGACTCTAAGCAAATTACTTAAACTCTTTGTGCCTAAGTTTCCTCACCTGCAAAATAGGGATGAATATGATAACTAGTCTCACATGCAATATGTATAACTACACATATAACTTTATGTACATCACCTAGAATAGCATCTGATACATAGACGGTACCAATAAGTGTGAGTTATTATTACTATGATCATTGTTAATTATTATCTTTTCTCACCTGATGACAGGAAAAGAGCAGTGTGTTGAGCTCTGAACATCTCAATGAGGGTGCAATGTTTAGCTTACTACTGAGAAAATATTACTCTAAAGACGAAATCAGTGTGAAGACAAAACAAAGAAGAATATTCCCTGGAGCACAACTTTATAGCGAGATGCATTATTCCATTTTTGGAAGATTGCTAGACCAGGAAAATTCTGAGCTAAGCAAAACACAAGCAAATTTACAGATTTTTCTTTTAGATTTAGACCTTGGAATCTGATTGAATAATAGGTATAAACAATGAATAGAATAAAAGATTTGTAAATTGCATTCCCCCTCACCTACTCATCACTCACCCATAGAGGTTATAACAAATATAAACAGGAATTCTGCTCCTTAGGTGGGTGTTGGAAATGAGAAGCCACTCCTCCTAGACAGAGGCCCAGAGCACAGCCCTTTGTCCAGGAGCAATATCTAGCCTAAGGGTAGGCTGGAAGCCAAATGCCAGGGTGTCCCTCTCTGAACTTCCCAATATCCCTGTTAAGTTACTTTTCTTCAGCTATATCTCCCTCTTTAAATTTTGTAAAGTTATATGAGTAAAAAAGGTGGTTTTAAACATACCAAGAAGTTTTAAACCCTCATTATTACAAAAAACTGAATGCAATCTTAAAAATATTAGTAGCAGTTTTAAATTATATGGGTGCATTCAGTGCATCCATCACTTTTAGTTTAGCTGGAGAGGATTGATTTGGATTAACTGATTGAGGTTATGCTGATATAGTTAAGAGACCCTAATTATAAAATCTGTCACTTCAATAGTCTGCTTCATCTTCAACGTCCATTGAAAACATGAAATACCCAGTCTTTTCACTCCTACCCTTGAGTCAATACCCAGTACAACTTACTTATGTGATAACACCATTCTGGAAAAGTTGTGTGTAAATTAAATCACATTTTCCCTTTGAAATAAAGACAATAACAGAAATGTTCTATCTTAGTTTCTAACTGATCTTCAGTTGGCATTGATTTCTAGAGAACACTTAACATACCTAAAAACCCAAAGTGTCTCTATATCCAGGTAGTATACAATTTGCAAATACACAATTATACTAGGAGATCTATTTACAGGAATTCTTTAGTTTAGGAAGAGTCTTTTTGTAATATAATCACTCTGTAAGAGATCTGTTTTGAAGGTTTGGTCTTTACTATTGTATTTTCTTCATGCAGATATACTTATCTCTACTGCTTTTCAAGTGGTGGAATCTGAGCCAGTAAGGTCAAGGATTAAAGATGAAAGAGCCTGATTTCCTCTTCTACTATCACCATGTACCAGCTAAGTACTCTCCTGGATGGAGAATGACAAGACACTCTTTCTGCCTTTATTCTTGTCAGCCTTATTGGAAGGGTGAGAGGTCCTCACTGTGTGGTTTCTAGTAAACATTGTGTGGACCTAACTAGTCTTTCCCTCTTTAACCCTCCTCCCAGGGGTGGGGGTGGGGAGGAGTTGCACTTTACTCAAGGCCAGTGACTTTTGGTGGGAATGACAATGTATGGAGTATTCCCAAATTCTTTTGGGAGACTTGGGAATACATTAAAACCTGAAAGCCAGCACCCACGCCCTGTGATGCAAACTGGATCCATTATTAGAATCTGAAGTAACTTTCTAGGCATGCAGGAGTGGGTCTCATTGGTAATCTGTGTTTTGGAAGCGCTCAATGATAAAATTAGACAACCTGTTTCATAGGCAACACATGAACCTACTTATCATTGGTGTTCCAGTGGGTTTTCCCCAGGTGCTTTAGATTAATCTTTCAAAACTCTGACCTAAAAGACATGATTTCAAAATACTCACACTGAACAGAGGCTTGTGAGTTTAGGAGACAATTGGATTCAGAGTCACTGTGACTCTAAAGGCTTGACTTGGCCCCAGTAATACAAGACTAACTTCTCAAACGCAATGTGCTCTTGAATTTATTTCATTTAAAAAACCCTTGCCAATTCTGCCTAATTTGTATCATTGGAGTGAGTGGGGATACATAGGGACAAGTCCTTCCATGACTAGCTTGGACCAATCAGCATCCCTCTTTGGAGAATGACTGTCTTCTGTGCCTGTAAGCTCCTTAGGAGATTCCAGAGGAAGAACACAGTAGAGTTATGACTTAAGCACCTAAGGGTCTATTTTTTGGACTAAAAAAAGTACAAACAGCTATACCTCTGTCAAACTGCCCATAGAAATGTAGAGCCTGGTGAGAAGTGAGACGGCAAAGGCAGTGCATGTGCAGTGCAGGAGCTGGGGGCGGGGGATGTGTGCTCAGTGTACTTTTCCTGATAAAATTGCATTTGAGCCCTTTATGTTTTACATATTCAGGCTGGAAAACGATGAACTACAAAGTTTGACTGAGAACTTGACATTATTCATTGTGATAGAACAGTCTACCAGCTTCTTTTTATCCTGGAAGCAAGGTGATATCATCTATGGAACTTCATTCTGACTTCGTCTTATCATGGACTAAACCATTCCTTTGTCTCTGCTTTCTCAGTTT